GAAAGTAGCGCAGGGAGGGTGAGCGATGAGAGCCGGAGGTGTATTTGCGAAGGGCATGGGAGCGCGAGAGAATTTGTATGGGATTCCGTCGGCACTGTTAAAACAGCTTTTCCACATCCTGACCCTACATGAAGAGGTGCATGCGTTCCTGTCTGAGCTGCTTGTCAGAGAAGATCTAAGCGAGATGAGCGGTTTAGTCCAGTCAGCTGTTGTTGAGAGTGACCTGCCCGAGCTTGAACCGGAACCGATAGCGTTAGCGGGAGTACGAGCTGAAGTGACGATCATACCTGAGGGCGGATGGGAATCTGACGCGAGTGGTCTTAGCGATTGAGAGCGTTGGGGAGCTTCGGGAAGAGCGGTGGCTCCAGCCTTGGCGAGACCAGGCGGCAGGTGAGAACCTGGGTAATCCATCCAAGAGAGCAGTGGCTCTAGCCTCGGCACAGCCAGGCAACAGGTGGAAATCTGTATAATCCATTTGAGCAGTGGCTCTAGCCTCGGTATGACCAGGCGGCAGGTGAGAACCTGGATAATCTATCCAACCGAGCAGTGGCTCTAGCCTCGGTGCGACCAGGCAACAGGTGGAAATCTGTATAATCCATTTCATGAGAGCATTGGCTCCGGACCTATATGACCGCAGGATCATGTGCGCGACAGTGCTTTGCTTTTTGCTTCCCGGCATGCCATGCCATAACGCGTGGGTGGCGTCGTGGTATGCTGCTGCTGCTGCTGCTGCTGCTGATTGACTAAGGCAAGGTAAGTACTAGGCGCTGTCGATCACAAATATGCGATCTCCACTAGGCGTCGATCTTTTTGGACAGCACGATTAATTACCATGCGATGTTAACATGGATATCGCCATTACATCACATGACTGCAGGATCATGTGCGCGACAGTGCTTCGCTTTTTGCTTCCCAGCATGCCATGCCATAACGCGTGGGTGGCGTCGTGGTACATGCACGCGACTGTTGTGGCATTGTCATCGTTGGCGTCCGGCGATCGTGAGATCGAACATTCGACTGCGTCGCCCGTTGGGATTCGAGCTTTGCTGCTGCTGCCAAGGCACTGCATGAATCCGATGAGTTGAATTTGAATAATCAATGCTGACCCTATTCATGAATTTGAATAATCAATGACGGCCCTATTCATGAATTTGAATAATAAGAAATCTTATTATTCAAATTCAACTCAAATTATTCAAGTAATTTGACGTAAACTTGAACAATAAGATAAATATGATTTACTAGCACATGCCGGCACACTAGCGAGGCATTCGGATAGCACTGCGGGAAAACACATCATCATACACATGACTAGTTCGTTCGTTGTGTTTTTATAGCATTCGACAAAACTACTGAGGCAAATAGTTCAAATACTGAGGAAACAATTCAAAAAGGTTCATCATTATTGAGTTGCTTACAGGAGACATCAGCGGCCGATAGTCACTACTGAGAATTATCGAGTTGGTGGGACAGTTGCTGAGGCAGTTGCTGGGGCACACACTTCCTCCGTCAATCTTCATCTTTCTTTTTCCCACGATACAACTCATAGTACTTATCTTTTATGCTGCGAGCAGAAGGCTTGTGTGCGCTGCTGTTAATGCCACAAGAGACTAATATGCCCAAAGTGTGTGGTGACATATTTGGATCTGTGAGCAGACCTGCCCTGGAAAACACTTGTTCACAATTAGCCTCGTGCGGCAAGTGAGATGTTGTTTGCCTGAAAACAACCAGATGGAGGAGGAACTCTGCTCGCAACTGCCACAACATACGAAACTCGTTTAAAAGCCCGTCGTCTCGATAGAACTGTGAGTACTTGCCGAAAGCAAGATTCTCCCACCGTTTTCTTTCATCAACCACAGGGTCAAATACTTCCTTCTCTCGGTCTTGCGCGGGCAGCAAACCGTCCTGCTGTAAGGCTGGTGGCAAAACATATTCACCACGAAATAGACCCTGAACCTTTTGGCGCTTGACAGTTTGAGCGGAGTCGGTGCCCTTGATCTGTGTACTTTTGCGAGCAATGGGTAAAGCCTCACGAAGTGCCGTCAGATACAGGGTCCTAGCGAGTTCATATTGAGCCTGTGTCAAATAAAGCTTGGCATCCTTTTGCTTTGACATGAAACATTGAATCAGACGAATATTCGAAGGTCGGCTGTCAAAAATACGAGTCTGCATCTCCTCCTGCAATACTTCACGAGCAGTAACCGTCACACTGTGAAGATATTTTGATTCCCTCACAAGCACCGCGCGTTGCCGGCCTGCCATACTCAATGTTTGCGGAACCTGTTTCACTTGTAGCATTGCTTGTGGGTGGCAGAAGTTTTCCTTGAGATCGTGCAGTAAGATCATAGCCTGACTCCCAGTGCAGATTCCTGCATGCTCAATAGTCTCTTTGATGTCAAAGGGGTAAGAGAGCAAGGCCTCAAGCTCAAGACTTTTATCCCAATCAAGAGTGTCTAGTCCTATCTCGGCCGCAGCCACAGGCCTCCCCACCTTACTGCCCCCCTACGATTCGTCGTTCTCCACAATCGCCTCCTTGTTGCCACGATTCTCTAACTTGTATCTATCCAAGCTAGCATCGATACCGGTCTTCAACATGCAGTTGGTGGAAATCTGCTTGCACTGGTTCCCCCATCGAGTGACCGCGGTCTTCTCAAGTGTCAGCAGGTTTTTTTTCTAAAACACCGGCAGCTTCCTGTGCACTCCTCAGAGACTTCCCAAAAGCGAGTGACTGATTGGAGAGCATCACAACACGATTGTGCTTTTGCCATGCCATAACGCGTGGGTGGCGTCGTGGTACATACACGCGACTGTTATGTCACTGTCATCGTTGGCGTCTGGCGATCGTGAGATCGAACATTCGACTGCGTCGCCCGTTGGGATTCGAGCTTTGTTGCTGCTGCTGCTGCTGCTGCTGCTGCTGATTGACTAAGGTAAGGTAAGTACTAGGCGCTGTCGATCACAAATATGCGATCTCCACTAGGCGTCGATCTTTTTGGACAGCACCGATTAATTACCATGCGATGTTAACATGGATATCGCCATTACATCATATGACCGCAGGATCATGTGCGCGACAGTGCTTCGCTTTTTGCTTCCCAGCATGCCATGCCATAACGCGTGGGTGGCGTCGTGGTACATACACGCGACTGCTTGTGGCACTGTCATCGTTGGCGTCCGGCGATCGTGAGATGGAACATTCGACTGTACGCCCGTTGGGATTCGAGCCACGCCACGCCGCCACGCTGCTGCCGCCGCCAGCCAGCCATTGACTACTAAAGCAATTAGGCGCCGCCGATCACAGCCGTGCGATTCCACTAGGCGTCGATCTTTTGGACAAAGACGATTAATTACCATGCGATGTTAACATGGATATCGCCATTACATCATATGACCGCGTGATCATGTGCGCGACAGTTGCTTGCTTTTGCTTCCCGGAAGATGCCATGCCATAACGCGTGGGTGGGCGTCGTGGGCATTAGGCGTTGTCGATCACAAATATCGATCACAAATATGCGATCTCCACTAGGCGTCGATCTTTTTGGACAGCACGATTAATTACCATGCGATGTTAACATGGATATCGCCATTACATCATATGACCGCAGGATCATGTGTGCGCGACAGTGCTTCGCTTTTTGCTTCCCAGCATGCCATGCCATAACGCGTGGGTGGCGTCGTGGTACATACACGCGACTGTTGTGGCACTGTCATCGTTGGCGTCTGGCGATCGTGAGATCGAACATTCGACTGCGTCGCCCGTTGGGATTCGAGCTTTGCTGCTGCTGCTGCTGCTGCTGCTGATTGACTAAGGTAAGGTAAGTACTAGGCGTTGTCGATCACAAATATGCGATCTCCACTAGGCGTCGATCTTTTTGGACAGCACGATCAATTACCATGCGATGTTAACATGGATATCGCCATTACATCACATGACCGCATGATCATGTGCGCGACAGTGCTTTGCTTTTTGCTTCCCGGCATGCCATGCCATAACGCGTGGGTGGCGTCGTGGTACATACACGCGACTGTTGTGGCACTGTCATCGTTAGCGTCTATATTGCCCGTTTTCTTAGCTATGTGAGGTTTGTCCGCCTTGGAGAAGCCACTAGAACACGCCTCCTTAATTCTTTCCATACAACTATCGAAAGATGAAGCACTGAGCAAGGCCACCCACTCTTTACGCTCGTGCGTCCGTGTCCGCTTGCGCGTAGAGAGTTCCTCAATTTCATCCTCGGGATCGGAATCCTCATAAATTTCTCGTCCATCCTTTCCCGGGGCTAGTGAACTGCAAATTTTCCTCCTCCTGGTCCATGGCACCTGTGAAGTGCTCGGGAGTGTGCTAGACGAACTAGTTGTAATTTCTTTTGGCGCTCGATTGAATTAAGCAAGGTTACATGTGACATATAATCTATTCCCCAGAAATAGACATAATTTCTATTCCCCATTTAGCACTTTTCTATTCCCCAAACATTATGCTACCCCCGGCATGTGTCAACTCCACCCATGAGCCTCCCCACACCTCCCCGCCCGTCACCCTCGTCAGCTCCCCCCACGCCAGCAACCCGCCCAAGAAGGCCGGGGTGGTGTATTGGAATCTGCCAGTACCGAAGTAGCCGGTGTAGGCCTTGGTACACTCCCCTAGATCTGTAGTAGCTCAGGCGTGAGTGTCACCGTGTGTCACGTGTCACCGAGGTCACCGATCGGGTTTAGGTTCGAGGTTCATATTATTTCCGTTCTCATAGTATTCAGTTTTAGACTTCACCGAAACTGCCAACCTGTTTGCCCACTTTACCGGATATCCATTGTGAGGATATCCCATTCGAGCCTTTATAACCTTAATAATGCGCACCCTAGAACCCGCCAAAGGCCAAAAGCGATGCTTAGTGTAGTCTGAAACATCATTACAAACACATACCAGTGCATGTGTTAAGATCTATAAATCGTGATGGGACTTTCACTGTACAAGACCCGAACGTCAACGCGAGCTCCGGCACAAATGTTGCTCCAAGCCGGTTATTTCGATCCGGTGACCTCATGGTTGTCGCCCACTTGCTCTGCCACTGAGCTATCGGAGCTTATTGATGTTCAAGCTCGGTCCTCTTGTGGCACTTGTGCTAGAAACAGCTAAACAGGCAGAGGGGAACTGCTGCCGACGGGTAAACAACGGATCAAGTTAGACTCGTATAGAAACAATATATACCGAGTCTGTGACACGAGCTGATCACCGAGAGTGACGTACTGGATATGACACGTGACCATATGACAGGCCAGTGTCCATATTCCAGCAACTTGTACAGTTCCGATAATCATACGGATCGAAGATCAACTGTGGCATCGATCGATGTCGTACCAACATCGCGACTGCGGGCGTCTGTCATCTTTCGATCCGTAACACATCTCCCCTCTTTATAGGGTCGTGACCTCACGACATTCGTGTCGGGTTACTTTTCAGAGGTCCGGCCTCGGATGTGATGACGTGGCAATCAACCGTGTCCGCTCGTACCGGGGGTTATGTGGAATGTGTCCACGTCATCAGCGCGGGTCACATCGTGCCTATGCATACGCGACCTTAGCGCAGGTCACATTGTGCCTTATGCCGTTACATCCGAGGCCGTTTCTGAACCGTCGCTTCGATACTAATGTTAAGATCTATAAATCGTGATGGGACTTTCACTGTACACGTCCCGAACGTCAACGCGAGCTCCGGCACAAATGTTGCTCCAAGCCGGTTTCAATCCGGTGACCTCATGGTTGTCGCCCACTTGCTCTGCCACTGAGCTATCGGAGCTTATTGATGTTCCGAAGCTCGATCCTCTCGTGGCACTTGTACAGTTCCGATAATCATACGGATCGAAGATCGACTGTGACATCGATTGATGACGTACCAACATCGCGACTACGGGCGTCTGTCATCTTTCGATCCGTAACAGCATGCGAGGTGCTAGAATGGTGTTAGGGGCGAATCATGGTGTACGAGGACTGGGACTCGGACTCTGTCCATGTGTGTACGTTTACGAGGACTCTGTCTATCTGGCATTTCCGGCTAAACCCACGAGCACCTCGGCACGCACCCCAAACCGCGGCATAAGTCCAAGTCGGATGCTCAATATAATCTGAAATATCATTTCCAAGGCATAGCAAGTTAAACGTGATGCTAGAAAGGTGTTTGAGGGCGATCCTAGAGTGCTGCTTATGTACACGTACTAGTCACTGCTATAAGCGAACCTCGGCGAGCCTTTAGGACCTTAACTCTGGCTTACACTATCGTTATTACATGGGCCGTGCCGAATTCTCTTCCGGTTTCCCAAAAACCATTAACTCATCAAGTTATCAAGGGCCTCGCTCTGTGTACCACTAAAATTACGTGTACAATTCTGTGAGGCCATATTAAGCATATTTAGGGTTTTATATCGAGTTCATACTCAGCATCACGCTAATGTTGATAAAGGCACGCGTATGTGATTTGTCTGTGAACAACCTTCGCAAGGTCCTTCACGCAGCTTTAATATAAGTTGGTACCCCTGGGAATCTATGGACAATCTCTATTAGTCACTTGCCATACCACGTATTCTCAATGACTGCAGTGTGTTACAAATTGAAAGAGGAGCGCTATGTTGCATATCAATTACAACCTAAATAATCATTGCAAGCTTCTTGGTGTGATAATGAGCAAAACAAATAGCATCTTATGAGGTCGACGTCGGAGGAGTAATGTAATGCTTTCACATCCCAGGGTTGCCGTCGAGAGAGTATACCACATAGTGATGATTGAGCCCCTTCTGGCCATGCAGCCGCCAGCGGCTCCCCAAGGCGCCACCCCGAGAGTCGGGCACCATGTAGACCACCCGCCGCACACGTGAGTGCACCAATGCCATAGCGCACATTGCGCACGGCTCGCGCAACACGTAGAGGTCGAAGTTGGTGCACAGGTAAGGCTTCTCATCAAGCACCCCTTTGGGAATCGAGGCGGTCTCAGTGCAAGAGACAATACTTCCGCCGTCACTGCTGACGGTGGTGTCATCTGCAGCGATACACAACGTAACTTCTTGAGTGATAGTGGAATGTCTCCCAACCCTTTGCCATCCGAGCTTTCCGCCAAAGTCTGAGGTGTGGCCGACGCCATTCACCCAATATGCAAGGAAATATCAGAGCACTCGGAACACTGCCCCTCTGTGCACTCGGAACGCTGCCCCTCTGTGC